TCTTGATTAAGTAATTAAATCTAAATCAAGCAATTAAACGTGGAATTGACTTGAAATTAAGCATGCTTGTGATGTAGGTGAGGTTAACTTATATGATGAAGCTCTAAATTAACCTTGAAAAGGTAGGTTGCTTGAAAATCCTCTTCCTCCCATTTCTCCTCCTAAATTTGAAGTAGCTCTTTTAATTTTCTCCTTGAAGGTATTCGGCCCCCAACTTGAAATTAAAGCTTAATCCACCGATTTGGAGGGTCTAAAATTGATTAAGATTATTTTGGTTAGTTTACGAGTGGAAATTTTGCAAGAGTTTCCTTTGTGCTTTTTAATTTTCCTTCCTTTTTTAATTTTTTCAGCACCCTTATTTAGAGGAACATTTTGTGGACTTGTTGATCTTATCTCTACCCTTAATTTGGGTAAATCTCAACCCTTAATTCAATTTCCAATCAATTCTTTTTATGTGGGTAAATTTTTGGCCATCTCGTTCTTCTTTTTGTTTAAGCCTTCAATTTAGTTTAATTTTATCCATAAAATTTACTATAAGCAAACTTAATTAATGCTTTAGGTCGACCAAAGTCGGGAGAAAACCGACAAATTTTGATCCTCCAAGTTTCTAGAGTTTTCTATGGCTTATTCTTTCCTAAATCCTCCTTTTATTGAAATAATCATTTTTAACCATTTATTTTCAGTATTTAGGGCTAAATTTTAACCTTAACATTCCTAAATAATTTAATTTGTATTATTAGACTTTTAATTTTATGTAATCGAGTCCCTAATTTTATACGAGTTTAGTACCTACTTTTAAAATTCCATCCTATACTCTTTAAAAATACAATTTCTTTCCATAATCAATTAAAAAATTTATTAAGGAAGTTTATTTTAAATTTTTATAATTTTTGGACCTCATTTGGGCCTCTAAATTAATTATTTAGTGTGAAAATCACACTATTTCCTATTAAAAATATTTCCTATACTTAATAAAATTAATGTAAATTTTCCAAGCATTCTTACACCTCCTATATGATTATTCCATGCTCTTAAAATTTTTTTCTCATACTCTTAAGGTACCTAAGTAAATTCTTTACCCCTAAAAACATTATTCCTATATATAACAATTCGAATAAAATATTCATAAAACAGAAGAAAATTCATACAATCACATAAAATAATTAAACACCCTTCTAAAAAATATTCTAAGGAAAGAAAATATTTTTCTTGCACAAACAACATGCTTTAATTAATTATTTCATGTAAAAACTACTATTCATACATCGTAAAATCAATAATATATTTCTTAAGCATGGAAAAACTATTTTGACCATTCTAAATAGTATTTTAAATCCCTAATGATTATTTCTTACTCTCAAAACATTTTTCACATGTATTTAATTTCAGTTTTAGCGGGTATCCGTTATTACATTATGACAATTTAAGACTCATACTATCAATTTAGCCTATTTAGACTCTAAACTATTAGTTTATGGATAAAGGTTATATCCTTCCTCCGTTATCTCCAACAATCAAAACATTGACTATTAAATACGATATGGTTTAATAGCAAAATTTTCCTCAAAACTATTAGGGTTATTGTATAAAAGGATATATAGTATGAATTTAAGCTATATGAACCCCAAACTATATATTATATATATATATATATATATATATATTGCAAATTTGATCATTCTTCATTATTTTTGATAGTCAAAGTGTTGATTGTTAACTAAAATATTTAAAACAACGTTATTTTAAACATTTCAAATTTATTTTATAATTATAATTAATTTTGAAAGATAATAATGATTTTTTTTTAAATGCATGGATCCATTGCACATTATTAATTGTATAATAATAAAAGTAAGATCTATAAACAAAAAAAAAAAAAAAAATCTAAGGTACATTAATAAGCTAATTCTTATTAAATATTTTTTTCAAAGTTAAATTTAATTCTTAAAAAAAAAAATTATTCATTTTTGTTTTTACTAGATTGATGTATTACACATAATTAATTATCCAACAACAAAAGTCAAATTCATAAATAACAAAATCATCTAAACTTCCTTATAAGAAACTATTACTAAAAAAATTAAAATTAATTTTAATTTTCAAAAAACATAATAATAACGCTTGGCAATAATGGAGAAGGATAAAATTTATCAAAAAAAGTAATAGTTTAGGATCTAAATAACTTAATTTGATAGTATAGATCTTGAATTATCATAACCTAATAGTTTAGGAGTAATTTATGTCATTAAAAAGCCAAAATGAGCTCTTTGATGAACCAATGCTCGGAATTAGAGTAGAAAAGCCGTAAATATTTTTAAGACCCTCTAGTTTTCTTTCACTTATTTGGTAAAAAAATTAAATTGATTGAGGTCCCCCCCCCCCCCACACACACACTTTATGGCTTCTTTATAATAAATTGGTTAAAGAACAAATGACAAAAAAGATATAGAATGGAAAAAAAAGTCATTTTGAGTTATTTTTTGTTTAAACATAGATGAATTTGTTTCAGCCTTTTTTTTTTTATGCTAGGAATTAAAATTATATCCTTTTTTTTTTTTTTTCTAAAGCCTTGCTCGTGCGGACATTTTCTTTTTTTTTTTAATGCTTTTGCGTTTTCTAAAGCCTTGATTATTGGGAAAAAAATTATAGATGATCGATCATCATTTTTGGGGTTCCTAAAAAAAACCTAGAAATGAAAAATATATATAATATGTTTTTATATTTTAAAATAAGCATATATTTTATTTTATATTATTCTTATTATTTAAAATTTATTCCTTTAATTTGTCATTTCTTATGAAAATTCTCATCTAATTGATTTTTTATTTTTATTAAATTTTATTTACATATAGATATGTTTTTTTATCTACTGATGGATTTTGGAATAAAATTTTGAAACATGACTATTTTTTTAAATATAAATAATATAATTTATATAATGTATTATGAGAATTTTTTAATCATAGCTTTGCATGTGAAGCTTGTGCACAAGGACTAAACATATATAGCTTATAAACAAAGAAAATATTTAATAAAGAAAACAATTCATATACTTTATTTGTTGTTTCTTTATACAATCAAAATTAATTTTGGAATAGTTTTTTTAGTGTATTAACTTCAAATTTTTTCAATATATTACTTACAAATTAACTATTTTTTTTATTTTTCATTTTATATTGAAAACTTTAAAGCTACCCAAGTATAGTTATTATATATAAAAAAACATTAAATTGTTAGTTTTATTAGAAATTAACTATATAACAATCCAAAACACAAACTATTTACTCTTTATTTATTCATTTTTGAATACTATGGAATTGATTTCTTTCAAAACAAATAGTTAAAATTATGTTTTTGGCAAACATGCTAATTATTCAAATACAATTTTTATTATAATATGGTTGATAATTTTATGAATAAATATATCAAAATCAATTGTATAGACTTTCAAAAAGTAATATTCTCATCAACATTAAATAAAAATAAAACTAATATTTTTTTTTGTACATTTTTATGCAAGCTTTTACTTCAATTGTTACTTTGTTTTAACAACATAATATAATAAAAAAATATTATGGCTTTATTAGATTTCATATAAAAATTTCTTTTTAGATTATTGTAAGTTTTTAATTAATAATTCATAGATAAAAAAATAAATCATATTTTGTTGGGTATAAAAATTATGAAAAACATGAGAAAAAATAATTAACTATAAAGTTTAGATAAAAAATTTATAAAATTCAATGATTTTTTATTTTATTTTTGATTTAATATCTTTTGGTGTACCAGTAGTATAGCGTAGATCATTACAATTGATTTTTTTAAAAAAATTATTTCACGTATTCTTGCTGCAGGTAAGAAACTAGGGATCTGCTAAAGAGTTTTCTTTTTGTTTTATCTGAACCATAAATGATTATTAATTCTTTAAATGGATTTGTTCAAAAATAGAAAATAACACGACTTCAATCCGTCTGATAGATAATAATATACTACTAAAATATATTCAATATGGACGAGAAACAAACTTGTCATCTGCCGCCTCAGCCTCAATAAAATAATTTCATTAAAAATGTCGTGAAAGTTTTCAATCGTGCAAACAACAATTGTAGTAGGAGTATCGTTTTTATGAAATTGAACTCCTTCTTGCCGTACAACGACGTTTCCTCCTACTTTTCGTTTTGGGCCACTTGACAACTACTCCTCACAAGTTTTAAAATTAAGGTAATGATACTCTTATATTATTTTATACTAAATTCATGATGATAATATTTTTGAACCAACTTATATATATATATATATATATATATATATATATATATATATAACTAAATTCACCTTTCGAGTTTCATGATACTTGTTATGTATGTATATCAAAATTATTAGATTTATGCGTATCAAAATTGTTAAATTTATGAAAAGTATCCCTTAGTGGGTTAATATCGAATGGGCACCTATTTACAATATATGCTTCGCTTAACCTAACCTTTGAGGAGAGCTTAAAATTATGTGATCAAAACAATAACGTTAAAGAATTACATGAAAATTTATTTATTTATTATTATTTGTACAAGGAAGAATCATCAAAAGTTCCATTTTCCATTTTTTTACAACCAGTGAAACTCCCTCCTTACACATGAAAATCGCCTAACAAACAAAAGACTGGCAATGCAATTAACCTTAAAACATAGTAGTACTTCCAAAATAAGTTTTTTTTAAAAAATAATTTTCTGCTCAAAACATTCATTTTCCAATGCAAAACAACCATATCCTCTCATCTAAATTTTCTGTATTAAAAAAATAAATAAATTCATGATAGACAATATAAGAAGGGGAAAATTTAATACGAGATTCATTTCATTATATACAGGTCAAAGTCAAACACGAGAGACCAAGGCGGCGTCCAATCCACAGGGGCCCACCCTCTGCCACGTAAGCTCAAAACTGCCCCTTAGCGGCTGGCGGTCGCCGCCAGTTTACTACGTAAGCAGCCGCCGCTGATTTTAACACCGAGTTTCCTGAGGCATCGTCTCATCCCTCCCTTGCTCAATATCCAACTCGGTCATCCCTGACCAACCACCGCAACTCACTCGGTTAGCCAAGTTAGGAGACACAGTACCTCTTCTTTCCCTACTTAGCATCCTCTTGAACGACAACATCCGACTCCTTGGCGATCTAAACGCGTGACTCGCTGATGGTGACTCGGTACTTGACCCATCCTCAAAATTCTCATTTCTCCTAGGCACTTCTATGCTCACATCAATAAGCTCCACCGGTTTCCTTCTACCATTAAACGACGACGTAGAAGCCGAACCCACACGATCCTCCTCGTGCTGACACGTAGTACACAAACCCGCCCCCGAACTCGAACCCGCTTCTGAAATCACGGAATTTGAACCATTTTGAACAGAGTTTTCCGTCACCGCTTCAACCGGAGAGCGACAGAGAGGGCAAGTGGAGTGAGAATGAAACCACATATCAATACACTCGATGTGAAAACTGTGATTACATTTGGGCAAGATCCGACCCGTTTCGTTCTCCTCAAATTCGGATAAACAAACCGCACACTCAATCGAATCTTGGTGGGTTTTTCTTGAATATACAAAAACAGGAAGCGATTTTAAGACAGTCTCTTCAAGGCCACGCGTGACATGAGTAACGACATTGTTGGGGTTGTGGACAGAATCAACGTAGAAGACAAGATGGGTACGGCGGTGGCGGGCGCGGCGGATTTGGCGCTGGCGTGCACGGATGAGGTACCAACGAGCGTAAAGGTGGAGACAAACCATTAAAATGATAACAAAGAAGAGGATAACAATAGCACTTAGCATTATCTTACCACTCAATGCATAGCCTTCTCTATATTCAGTTGGTGGATCTCTCAAGTCGGAGTTCATTTCTTGATTATGATTGACTATTTCTTGTGTGTTTGGAATTCTAAAGAGAAAGAGAAGGAAAGAATGTTTTAGTTAAGAAATGAAGAGAGGAGAATGCTTTTGGAGTTGGCATATGAAGAAGAGAAGAGCATTAATAATGGGGGAGAGAGAGAGAGAGAGAAGAGGAAGTTTCTTGAGAGTTTCTTGGTCAGAGAAGGTGATGACTCTTTGTATAAGTTCACACGGTCATAACAAAGGGAAGAACGCCAGGGTTGACGCAGGGGTTTTGTATGGAATTCTCTTAATTGTCCTTCTATAATTAATGCTTTCTATGGCTAAGATTTTACATTAATTAATTTTATTTTCATATTTTTCTTCTTTCTTTGATTTTGAACTAAAATTTTGGTTATGATTAAAACTTGAGCGCGCCAACCTATAAGGCAATCGAAGAGGATTGGATAACTGCAAATCATGTCTTTCTGTTTAATCGTGAGTAGTAAAAATGTAGCCAAATGGCTTGAAAATGCTTTTATGAAGAAGTTTAATTATAAGTAAATATTTTGCGTACAAAAGAGATTTGCTCAAGAATTAAAACCTATTTGTATCTGTTTAGAATTAGAAAACATATTAGAATCCTTTACTTTTTTATAATTTGGGACTTTATATATATATAATCGTGAATGCAATTTATATAATAAAAAAGACATGATTGTCCCTTTTCTTTGGCCTTAGGTCTTAGTAGTTGAGTCGATAGATAATGATATTTTGCTATTATTATATTTGCTTTACAATAACGTTCGTGTTGTAATGATGAGTGACAATTTGATTGGTATCATTATTAAAGAATTTTCTTTAAATACTTTATCCCCATAGTGATAATGGAGAAAAATGATGTCTTTTTTTTTCTCAAGTTAGGACACTATAGGATAGGAGGTATCCTAAGCTTTTTTGGAAGGAGGCTCGCATTATAGGGATAGCTAGCCATCTCTTATGATCTTTGGGCTCATCTAATTGATTTGAGCTTTTTTATAGGACTTGTGGGTGATTGGTCGGTTACGGGTATGATGTGTGTTCGTTAATAGGACCAAAAAGGTGGTTGAAACATGCATTCATTAAATATATAGGTCTTTTAAGATTCATGAGGGTGGATCTTATTCACCTTTTAGCCTCTCGCCTCTACTCATGGTAATTATAGTAGCTCTCGAAAAAAAGTGTGCAATTACCGACATGTCCCTTTTTAGACTTATTGTTTTTTCTAGACATATCAATTGTCCCTGCCATTTTGATTTTTTGTCATTTTTCAAGGATAAAGGCTTGTTTTTGGATGGATTATAATCCTTATCCACTACTCGTTATTATTTAACAAGATAATGGTGGAGTCATCATTTTTTTATTGGTCATTGTGTTGTTTTAGAGAAGTTCACTAATTGGTAGATGAAAAAGTACGAGGGCATTGTTTGCTAGTGTCTTTTTCAATTTCAAGAATGGTCTTACCATTAATTATGTCGCTTCTCTTTCTTTAAGGGCACATGACAAAATGTAGCGAATCTAAGGACGCCTTGTGATCTAGGTTTTGAGAGGCATATATAAGTTAAGGTTCTTCTCTTGCATGCCATTTTTTTTCACTTTATTTCTATTTCTCCCATTTCTTATTAAGGTGTGATCTTTATAAAAAAAAAAAAAAAGGTGCTTTCAAGGTTCTGCTTTTGATCTCTACTTGATAGCGAGCATTTTGGCCTAAGTAATCTATTATTTCTTTCTTGTGTTTTTTAGTAGCGAACATGACCAACACTTGGATTGTGTCCGATTCTAAAGCTTTTTGTATTGGTATACCCGAGCTTTTTGAGAGCATGGAGGCTTCGGATGTTCCCTTAAGAGTGGTTAGTCCGCTCCTAGTCTCATATAATGATGATCGTCCCAATAGGGTGAGTGTTGCTAGGTTGTTGGTGCACGATGGTGGGCTAGGTCCTAGGTATAAGGCTTGACTAGTGATAGGGGTTAGTGCTTAGTCTTCCGAATGTAAAAATAGGCATTGTGATATCCATGTCCTAGCATGCATGATTTCTAATAGGTATATATTCCCTTTTTGGAATTTTTTGAGTTTTGTGTTTTGGCACTATAATTTTATGCAAAAGCCAACTCCATCCCACTAGGTAGGCAATCATTTTGATTTTTGATCGATTATGTGAACTTTATGGAGTCAACCTTACCGTGAGACCTTTTAGGGCTTGTTTCAACATATCTAAAAGCTTTAGAGGGAAAAAAAGAAAAGAAAAGAGGAGAGTCCTTGAGGGATTTGTTGATTGAAAAGGAAGACTATGTGAATGATTGATGGGGTGAATGGTTCACAATGTGTTATACTAGAGCTTTGATGTAAAACAAAATAATAGATATAAAAGGGTGTCTCTCCTTCTAGCTGGCTTTTATAAACAATTACAACTATCTCTTTATTTCTACATTGATAAAGAAAGAGATCTATAAAATTTTGAAGGGAGATGGGGAGCCACTTAGGATCGATATTCTAATAAGAAGAACAATCATGGGCTCAAACCTTAGCGGTATTTTGCTTTGATTTTTTTCTTTTATTAATCTTTAATCATTATCTTTGGTTAATTTTGTTCTTTTATAGGTGCTCATCTTCATATAACTATTGAAGATCCCACAACGATGGGTAATCAAGGTGTACTAGAGGAGATAAGAAGGAACTAGAGAATTCCACCTCTTCAAAGCCCTATCTTTAGGTAAAAAATGAGGCAAAGGAAGTGATATCAATTTCTAAACCTCTAGTAAGGGAGGTTTAAGTCGGAGGTTCTTTCAAACTAATGGAGTTTTTTTTTCTAGACACCTAGGTACAAAGGAGGTTGTTGAGTCCTATCCAAAGACTAGTTTTTTGCTTGAGGTAGTCATTCCTCTCTATCATAAGTAAAAAAAAGCTACAAAATAAACTATTGGTAATGATCTAAATTTTCAAGATTCTAACGGAATAAAAGCTACTAGGCTCTTTGGGCACTTTGAAGGATCATGCATTCTATTGAAGTACGGAATAATCAAAATTTTTTCGCCATCTAGGATTTCTAAGATCTTACTTGTTGAATAAACTAATCATACATAAATAAGAATAAGATTATAGTGAGTGATTATCTCTTGTAGCGTAGAATCAATCTATGTAGAAATGAATTATCCAAGTGTCCAGCCTCTATTGATTATCTACGTAGCTCAAACGAGTCACACAAGAAGTCACAAAAATCATCGTATGCTAATTTCTCCTTAGAAATCTTTTAAGGTTTTTACACCAACAATAGGGAGAGGGAATGTGACATTTCTTCTTTTGGAAGAGAGGCACTCTTTTTTTCTTTTCTATTATATTACCACCTCTCTCTCCCTCCTCTATTTATAAATGATGACATCATCTCCTTATAGGTCAATGAGATGTTGCTTATATGGATTTTATTTAACCTTATCCTTATAAATCTTAAGCTTTATCTAATAGTGCTCAAATTTATCATTCCATCAAAATATATTACAAGCTCTTAAATTACACCTATTGACCTAAACTCTTTTAGCTTAATTTATTACCAATCAATTTGAACCATCCAAATAAATTGAGTCAAGTATTTTAGTAAAGCCCATATTAGAAAATACTTTCTCAAATTACCTTTAAACCTAAATTAGGAAACTAATTTTCTTTTTAGGTAACTATTTTTCACATTTGGAATTGACTTCTAAATTAGGAAACTAATTTCGAAATAAGAAACTAACTTTCCATTTTAGAAAACTGACTTTCTAAAATAGAAAACTTTTTGAAACAAGAAACATTTTTTTTAATAACCTTTGCTTCTCTTTTATTATGTGAATGTTTAAATTTTTTATGTGTGACTCAATAAGCTCCTAGATATGTTAGCAATGTATCAAGAAGATCAAAGACACCTCTTTTATCTTTTGATACATAAATCAAGATTAACCTCTAGTAAGGTATCATGACTATCCAATTCTCTAGAAGGATTAATTAATCTATAATTATCTTTTTATGAGAATGGTTTTTATATAATTCAATCCTTATATCAATTTTATTATTTTCTGATCTCAAACTTGGTTTATAGTTTATTCGATTATGATCATATAAGTTTTCTTCGATATCCAAAGGTCTTAGCTCATAAGTAAACTAATTATGCTCTATTAGTATACTTTCACTATGGTCACAAGATTCCTTAAGTAGAAATTTATCGATGTATAATGTGATAACTCCTTTAGTATATAAGGAACAATATGTCCTACCTCAATCATCCATATATCTTCATTAGATTCTTAATGCACCCAATGAATTGCCCACATGTAGCTTTTTATTGAGCCTATTGAAACGAATGTCAAAGTACATCAATCCTTCGATAAGATAACTATGATGACTTCAAGTCAAAGGACAAGTTGTACCCATCTCATATGAGATTCTCATAGACTAAAGCAAATGAGTTCACATAACGAGTCACGTCTAGTAATATATGTTTTATAACATTATTCATCTAAGTGATTGCTTTGATATCATCATATCGGTAGGTATGAGATCTTCTACTACTATCTAATAAAAATAGTATAGCACTTACAAGTCTTATTGCATGTTGTTAATGTCAAATCTTGACAATGTTATAACTTGAGACATATAATGATATCATTTAAATAAATTAATATTTATCTCATGTCAATTAATCAATCATTAATGTGATGCATATCATATGGACTTCTATCTAATTCTATCAAATTATACATAAAAAGAATTAATAGAAAAACTTTTTTTTATTAATATAAAAATATAATGATACAATAAATTAAACCATCCAAATAGATTGGATCTTGCATACCTATACTAATAATCTCTCACTTACACTAGAGCCAATAACTATGTCTATTATGCTCAATAATCGAATAAGGGTCTCATGTTTTTATTATGACACAAGCTTAGTCAATGGGTTAGCTATGTTATCATCGGTGTGAATTTTTTTCTATCTTTATATCTCTCTAATCAGGTG